TGCTGACCAACTTTCTCGGTATTCGGCTGCTGCGAGCAGGAGCTCGAAGGCGGTGAGCTGGCTGAGTGGAGGACAGAGATGGAAAGGCGTGCTTGGGCAGTCGGTGATTGTGGATGATCTTTCTATGAGTGCTGACGAGTCGATCGTCACTATTCACGTTACGAAACACGCGTAGATGGGCGTCACGGTCGTACTGCGTCATTATGTTCCGTTTATTTTGGTTGCGCCACCCAGTGAGTGGTGGATGGGTGCGGTTCTTCAAAGAATTGTATTAGGTATTTTCGGATCGATTCGGATATCTTTTTTTTTCATCTATTTTTGAGAAAAGCAGGCTGCATGATGCTGTGCACTGCCTCTGGTGTTGTTGTATATATATTTTTCGGTGCCATTGCAGCATATACTCTTCATGTTTTGTGTTGAACTTTATTATTTGGAAAAACTATGGTATCATCTGTGGTAAGTTGCTGCAGGTACAATTTCATGCACGCAGCCTGCCGGTGATGGTGCCAGAGTGTCGGATTGCCCCTCGTGTGGGAGCCGAGATGTAACTGTTAGCGTGGGGTGTCTGCTGCGCAACCGACACGGACCCTCTATGCGTGGTTATTGGAAAACGTTTTTGTGTTTCGTACTTGGGTCATAATTTACCTGGCGTGGTGTTCACTGTGCAAGTGCCACTGTGGCCCAGCCAAGTTGTTGTTTGTGTTCCTTTTGTCTCCTGAGTCCTTCTTTCCCTTTTGTTGAGGTGCCTGAGTGAGTGGCGTTGGTGGTGTAGGATGCCGCGTTGAGGCGCTTACCTGTACCCGCACGGTGGCGGTGTAGTGTGGCGGCACGCCCCCGCCCCCGCACGCGTCTGCGCTGCCGACATGCACGACCGCAGACGAATGGTGGCCGTGGCGTGTGCCTTGTGGTGCGGCATGACTGCGCTGCCCGGAGCCTGCGGGTGTGACGCGCTGCTGCTGCTGCTGCTGCGTGACTGGTGGTGCTGGCACCGCGGCGACGTGGCGGTGGGCGCGCGGCGACAGCGGAGCGGTGCATAGTGTGCGTTGCGCGCACTGCGGTGCTGGCGGCTGAGGTGCCGGTCCTCCACCCCAGCAGGGCGGCAGCATGAACCCAGCTGCTGTGTGCCCCACTGAAGGGGCTCGCTGCGTGGCCTCCCACGCGATCCGTCTTTTGGTGCTGCTGTTGCGTGCGTTGCGTGGGCCGCCGCCAGTCGCACTTGCGCCGCTCTCCCTCTCTCTTTGTGTCTCCTGTTGTATTTGTGATGGGGGATACAGTCGCCCGGGGAAGGTACTCTGAACGCCACGAAGCCGCTGCTTCGACCGGTGACTATGGGGCGGCGAGCACTGCGCCCTGGTGGGCTGTACTGCTGCCTGCACGTATGCATGGGGCTGGTGGTCTCTGTGCTTCTGGTGGCTGCTCCACGAGGTGCGGTGGGCCAAAGCACCGAAGCAATGAGAGTTGTACAGTTGCTCTCTATTGATGCGAAAGACTCCTTGTCTACTAATCACGTCAGGGAGGCAGCTGCTGTGGGCTTCTTGGCATCGCTCTATTCACGTGGGTACGTTGTTTTGCGATGCTGATGAGGAGGGCCGTGCCGCCGACTGCGCGCCTCGACGCTGCTGTGTACCGGGCGTACTGGAACGGCCTGCGTGTGCGTGTGGGTGTGCACACCGGGCTGTGTGACATCCGGCACGACGAGGTGACGAAGGGCTACGACTACTACGGCGGCACGGCGAACACGGCCTCTCGCACGGAAAGCATTGCGAACGGCGGGCAGGTGCTGCTGACGGGTGCGGCGTACCTGGCGCTGAGCACGGCTGAGCGTGAGCAGCTGGATGTGACTGCGCTTGGTGGTGTGCCGCTGCGCGGTGTGCCTGCGCCTGTGGAGACGTACCAGCTGAACGCTGTGCCCGGGCGCACCTTCGCCGCACTGCGGCTTGACCGGCAGGATGTCTTCGTTCACAATGAGGGTGATGGTGCGTCAAGCAGTGAGCCCGGTTCCAGTGTAAGCTACATGAGTGGCCCTGCGTCGTTCAGCAACCTTGTGCTGGTGACTGTGTTTGGTGCCTTCACCCCGCAGCAGCGTCTGCTTGTGCTGAAGCCGTACTGCGAGCGCTGGAGTGTTCGTCTGCCGCCGAGGGCCTCGTCTGTGTCTGATGACGAATACTGTCGTCTGTTGTTATCACGTCTCTCGCTGAAACTCGAGAAGGTCATGCAGCGTATGGGATGCGCCCATGAAGCTCATTCGCGTTCATCTGCAACTGACAGAGTGAATTTGCCTTCGTTTTTGGAGGGGTTATCCTCCTGTGGGGAAGATCAGGGGAGCGGCTTCGTCAGCCGTGGCTTGGGGACGTACCCGGAATTGGGTTCTGTTGAGGGTGGCGGGGATGACTCGGATTATGTGACCTTGGTCGTGAAGAGGTAGAATTACATGACCTTTTCTTTTCCTTTTTTGATGGGAAGAGCAGACGCGTTGCTGTACGTCAGCGTCTTTATCTGAGACCGATGTTATGTATCGAGGTTGCTCACTATCTTTTGAAGGAGGATTTGTTTTTTATACGTGAAAAAAGCTGAGTTGCTTAAGAACTCCCCCCTGAACACTCTAAACTTCATTATTGCGTTGGTTGACTCTCAGGCCCCCCTTCACTGTGGAGAGAATACAATGCAGACTGTGGGCGTGCACTTTGACTCATACGCGGTGTGTATAGGGATGTGGGAGGAAGGGGCGCCATCCGTGTCCTTTATTCATCCCTGCAACGCAACAATCGTGGAGGGACGTCACACGCCTTTCGACGCTGCGAACGAGGAACCACAACAATTTATGGTACAACACTAAATGCACTGGACAGTTTTTGCATGCTTTTCTCTGTTGTTTCTTGTGTGGTCTGTATTAAGCGGCGCCGTGGGGAGCTGTGAACACCTACTGAGGTACTTCTCATATTGCATGCATTCCGAAGGTGACTGTGCTTGTCTCATGTTGGTGCGGAGGTATTTGGCTGTATAGTGACACCGCACAGCACCTGTATGATGAAATGGTAGCCTTGTTTAATTTAGCAAGTGGTGTTGCACTTCTGAATTCACTGTGGGGCACTGCATGAGCTCCTGTTGTATTGCTCTGTGTTTTGTGTTTTAGTCCTATGTACCGAAGAGTGTGCCTGGTGGGCAGAGGCAATTTCGGAATAACATATGAGGTGTTTATTTATTTCTATTTGACCCAAGACGAATATAAAACCCGCACGTAATTGTGCACAATGCAGATCTGGAAAAGTTTCAAATTATTTATCTGGAGAAATCTAAAATATACATCACAGGGATGTATGGACCGACAGAAGTGTACGGAGGCAATATTCTCATTTATATTTCTAATAAGTGGAATCACTCGGAGTAGTAAGACCAGTTTGGTGATCTGTATGTGTTGCTGATGACCGCGTCGTATTCTAGGTGTTGTGCTTATCTACGCTGCCGTGTCTCCCTCTTCTCTCACACGTAGCGTAGGCACAGTGGGAATCCCCGCTGCGGCGCGTCGAGCTACACAGCAACGGGTTGGCGCACCGCACCGGGCTGCTGCCTCCGCGGCTGATGGATACGCTCGACACCCACACCGCGCTGGGGTTTCCCAACGTCAGCGACAATGGCGTGACGTGCGCCGGCTGCACGCAGCGATGGGGCGCTCCGGCGACGAGTCTGTTTACGTGGCGACGCTGTGTCTGCTGCCGGGCGCCAGCAGAGCGTACCTCGTGCAGATGTGGCGACCCCTCTTGGGGGCTCTCTCTTTTAGCTCACGTGTTGCTCACCTACTGGCGTGTGATTCGTACCGTGACGGTGCTGCTGTCCGATCGGCACGCCCCAGCGCAGCACTGTGCAACACTTTATTGGCTCCTGTTCTCCACCTCCCCTCCCCCCTTTTCTGGGTCACCTTCGCAGTTTGTCTTTGTGCTGCTTTCCCCACGATTGATGATCGCTGAAGGGGACGTGTGGTCCGTGGCGACGGGGGGGTGAGTGAGCGGTGCGGGAGCGCATGCGCACCGAGCAGCAGGGCGCCGAGCGTGGGCGACGTGCCACCGAGACCGACACCGACACCGCCGCCGGACGTGTGCGGAATGGCCGCGGATGGCATCTACGGCGTCATCACGGAGCTGCGGCGACCGGTTGAGGAAGCGGCGGCTCAGCAGGGCATCAGGGCGATGCTGAAGAGGGATTCCTCTGTCCGGCGTGTTGTTGCAGCGAGTCGTCGCTGCGGCGGCGAGCAGCGGTGAATGCGAGCAGCCAGGTGGGCGAGCGGGTAGCGCCCCTGCCGTCAGTGTGTTGTGGCTGGGCTTCAGCGTTGTGCCTCCATGCCCGTGACCGCAGCTCTCTTCTGGTTCCTACCAGAAGCTCGCACAGCCGCGAATGTGCACCCCTCTTCCATTGTTGTTCCCCCTTTGTCTTTTCCGTTTTAGTGCCGAGTGAATTGCACAGCAGGAGTGTAGCCGCATGGCATTGCTCGAACGGACATACACACTGCCGGCTGTGAGTTGATGTCTCACGGCGGCAGCGAGGGGTGTCCGTGGTACAACAACTGTCACAAATTGTTTCTTTGTTTCCTTGTGGGATAGTTTGGTATCCCCGGTTTACCATTTATTGTCGCAGATGGCGGTCCTCGCACTCTGTATAGTGATATGTCATGAACTATCTTTTGGCTGTGGGTCGCTGTGTTTTCCTTTTTATTTGTGGGTTGTTTTTTTATTTTATTGCACCTGTTGATTGCTTTTCCGTGAGGGAACAGGCGCTGGAGGGTCTGGTTGGCTGTTTCTCCCCACCATTTATCCAATAGGGTCAACATCCCAGCCTTGGCTTCATTATTGCAGAGGGGTGAGCGCTGGCTCTATATAACATCACGAATGCGTACCGCCATTATGCGCTCTATGAGCTTGCAAAGACAACTGGTGAGCGTTACTGGCCTGTATGACGCCAGTTCAGTCGCTTTCTTGCCCGGTTTGAGGGGTGGGATTATGATCCCGTGTCACCAACCCTGCGGAACGACGCCAGTGCGCAGGCTCTTGTTGAAGAGCGTCAGTACGGTGTGTTTTGCACATTTTCCAATGTGTCGCAGTGCCTCCCCATGGATCATGTCAGGTCCCGGTGCAGATCCCAGCGGAAGGAGGCGCAGTGCGCGATCGAGTTCGGCCATTGTTATTGGCTGAAAATCCTCATCCCTTGTTTTGATTTGGGGGTGGGGAGTAGGATCGCGGGTGTCTTCGCGGAATTGCAGCGTACATGCGGGCCAGGTGGTGGGAAAGCACAACCCCATCTGCCTTGACGGCGGGCGTGCTGAGGGGGCGGGGGGCGTATACACGCTTTATGATCTGCCAGCTGTTCCCGTTGGAGACCTCAAGGTTCGAGCAGAGCGTTCGCCACCGGCTAGTGGCCGCTGCGCGAAGAAGTTCCCTGCGTCGGATCTTGAGCCGCTGACTGGATTGGGCGTGGGGCTTGCTAGCAATTGCTTTATCCAAGTCGGCCAGCTCAGGGGTCCAGAACGGGGACTGGCGTCGATTGCCCTCCGGCACTGCTGCCTTTGTGGCAAGCCGTATACCAGATGCGATGTGCTTCTCTATGGTGTCTATGCGATTCATGCCTCGTTTGAGCCTGCAGTGTGAGTTGGTCAGTTTGCGGAACTTCGACCAGTTTGCCTTCTTCCATGTAAGCAGGGTCTTGTAGATCCGCGGCACTTCTAGCGGAGTGTCATCCTCCCCCACCTGGACAGTATAAGTGATGATGTAGTGGTCGCTGTCGGGGGTGGGTCGCGCTGTCCAATCTGTCACTGCGCACTCTTTTGCCAGTGTTACATCTGGCGCGGAGCCTCTATGCCTCTCGGTGTACCGTGTCCTATTTCCAGTGTTGGCAATGAGGAACTCATTATCAATGCACCATTGCACGATGGTATCACCTCGAGAGTCAGGCGGGACTTCGTTGTCCCATGCCAATGCGTGTGCATTGACGTCAGCACCTATGAGCTGTGGCCCGTCTGAACCAAGTCTATCAAGGTCCTCTGGAGTGATCTGGGTCGCAGCAGGCGGAAGATATGCTGATGAAATCGCCAGCTGCATACCTGCATCCAGATGGATGGTCACCTGTGCAAGCTCAATGCCTGCAACAAGTGCAGGTCCTATCTCTACCCGTACCTCATCCCTGATGAAGATTGATACACCTCCACTACGACAGGTGCGAGCTATCCCATAATGTTGGTACTCAGGAAGTCCAAAACTAGCTGCCTCAGGGGGGGACATTTTCGTCTCACTCAATAAGCAAAACGCGATATTATCATAGTAGAGCTTTTTCCCCAAGGCCAGCCGTTTGGCTTGCGTTAGCCCAGCTGAGTTCCATTGCATGCCCTTTGCTGTAGGGCCGGGATTCTCTTCCGCATTTCCACACAGCAGTAACTTGGTATGGATGATACTAATGGTGGCACGGCGACACACGCCCCAAGACCGATGAAGATAATACGGTGTCCCAGCAAGACGCGGCTGGTCCTGGTACTTTGCAATGCCGTGAGCCTGGCGCCGCAAAGTTCTCCAATTGACGAACTTTGCTGGCGCCTGGTTTCCCCCGACAATACGGGGCACTGGACCTTGGTGCCACGATGAGGTGGTCGGCATGACAAAGGACGAGAGCTGATGGGAAATAAAATCCGACTCAGCTTCCAAAGTCATATCCTTTATTCGACGATGGCATCCCACAATGGCTTTCACATACGGCAAGGATAAAATTGTGCTTTTGCAAAAAGCTAATCTACTCACTGTGTTCATCTATTAGATTAGGCATCATTTAAACACCGATTTCCAGGGGTCGTTTTGGCACAATGAAGAATACAATGCGGTTACCATCTATATCAATACCAATTTAACAGGAATCTATTTTGAGAAATTAAAGGCAGCTGGAAATGGTACATAGAACCGAAAGGCATTCTTAACTTAGTCTCGCTGTGCCAAACTGTAAGCCAGACGGCGTCTCTAACAGAGGTGCTGGTGACAAACCGTCATGAAAGAATCCACATTTTACCTCTTGGACACCTTGGT